CGAAGCCAACACTCTCCATTCACTCACTCATTTCTTGTTGCACTGTCTCTGTCTTATATGTAATGTGATATGGTATACCAGGGGTCTCCAACCTGTAGCTCAGGAGCCACCAGTAGCTCGCCACCCCTCTTCCAGGTAGCTCGCCAAAGGATTTATCAACAATATACTTGATATTTCAGATTGTATGAATCATTATCATTATCTTTATCTTCCATATTATTATGGAGATTTTATATTAGCTTCTTTATTATGCTAAAGCTAGAGATTGTATACTAGCTTCTTTCTTATGCTAAAGCTAATACTAGCTTCTTTATAATGCTAAAGCTAGAGATTGTATACTAGCATCTTTATTAAGCTAAAGCTAATACTAGCTTCTTTATTATGCTAAAGCTAGAGATTGTATGCTCGCTTCTTTTTTATGCTAAAGTTGGAGATTTTATACTAGCTTCTTTAATATGCTAAATCTAGAGATGTTATACTAGCTTCATATTATGCTAAAGTTAGAGATTTTATTACATTTTAGTATAGTTATTGTTCATTTATCTTGTGTTGTGTGCTCTTCATTCCAAATGTTGATGCAACACTGAAATGTCCCCCTTGTGGGACGAATAAAGAATTTCTTAATCATAAAATATATCAAAAACAAGGAGAAATAAAGTTAGTGAGTGGGTTTGCAGTACGTTCATGTTCTAGACTTGTATTTCGGAAGGACTGGTGCCATTACAACATTACATTTGTTTTAAAGGAATGTTGAAAAAGATTTTTATTATTATTTTCCAGCAATTAGATTTATGGGCGAAATTTTAGTTTATTGGCCAACATCATGAATATGTTATTTATTTATGTATTTTTTCTATAGTGGATATATATACTGACGAAGAGATATGGAACTTTGTAATTCTTGGTTCAATCCACATACACACACAGAGAACTGAGCTCTAATGTATGACCAGATGTCTGACTTTTGACAGTTGCCATAGTAACTGTAAAGATTTTTCAGCTGGACGCCACCATATTCTTAAAATATGGCTCTTTGGAATGGTGTGATATCTCATTAATCCAGTGTATTAGGAGGAAAAAGCTCTTATGGTCAAAGAAATACATCTATTTGAACCATTCATGTTTAATTAATGCATGGATAAAATCGCATGGTTCTGGCTGCTCTGGCAACCGAAAGAATGAAATGAATAATAAGCTACAGCAAAGAGTTGGAAAAAGAAAGAAAAGGCATTACAGCTATGATGTGTGTAGTCAGACAGTTATGTGCCGTCTGGAACATTTGGAAATGCATTTATTCCAAGGTAATCATATGTTTCTATTACATTTTGAAGCTATTTCCAAATGCAATTCTGCCAACCTAAGCTTAACCCTAAGAGCCTTTCCACTGTTTGGTTCGCGTAGTACTGTAGCTTTTACTATGATTCAAAATGCTTGTAAATGGGCAGGATGATGGATGTGTCAGAGAACAGGACAACAAAAGGCAGCCGTCCATCAGTTTTGTTTCGCTTTTCAATGGAATACACTGCTCCTGCTGCTGCTGAGCCTGGCGGGTGAAGGCCCAGCACAACTAACGAATGAGGAAGGACAAACACAGACCTCCGCAAGCTGCCAATCTTCATAATTTAACCCACGATTGATCCTGTATTATAATAAAAATAATAATGCATTGGTTTTATATTGTGCTTTTCAGGACATTCATACACGCTTTGAATGTCATTTTTCTTTCACTGCACAGTAGTGATAAACTAGTGTAATATTCCAACAAAAACACTTTTACAATAGATATGTTGGACCCCTAAAGGTGATGTCTGTCTCTTGTCAATTGTATTTCAAAATAATACATATTTCTGACCATATAACCCTGTGGTATCATCAATATTATAATAAAAGTCGCTCCCCTTGAAAGAAGCATCACCGGTAAGAGTTGCTGGAGAAGAATATTTAAATCAACAGGGAGGGGGCTCAGCTTTTTATCCAGTCTGGGAATTCATGCTTTCAATCAGGTCCCTGTGTGGGGGGTCTTTGTAGAAAAACGTCTCTCCATCCCCACGATTTGAAACGTAACTGATCTTCACTTCAAGCTGTAATACCTAATTATTATTTGACAACAAGCCGCTGTCTTCATCTGATTAGCTTCTGCATTCACGTAAATATTTGAATAGTTGGGATGAGAGCTGATTAGCTGATGTGATGGTGGTCCGACCTCTATTTATCAATCTTCTGTCTGAAAAAGCTGAATACATGATAATATCAATAAAAGCAGGAGCAAACTAGTGATAGAACCAATCTATTTTGAAAGCAAGGAACTTTTAGATAGTCAATCGTGTCAGCATCAATGAACATTAATAGCGTTAGAAATTGTATTTGTTTATTTAAGCCTATGCATTTTAGAAAAAAACATTTATTGTATTTATTGTATTTTTTTTGTGAGGTAAGTTTGTTTTTATAATTGGGATGTGTATATATCTATGTGTGTTCACCTGCCCGGGGACTACAGATGGAAAGTAGCTGCACATACTGTAAATTTCTTCTCTTGTTTTGTACATTGTTCCTGTTCTATAAACAATAATCGAAATGAAAGTAGTTACATGGATTTTTTTTTTTTTTTTTTTTACATGGTCTAATTGTGTGGGTTTAAAGTTAGGTACCCCCAGCGTTCAGAAATCTGACAATGTGCAAAGTCAAAATTATGCAAGCAAATCAAAATAATCAGCAGGCTTATGTAGATTTTGGTTTTCTCACATAGAAAAACAAACCCTTCTCATAATTAATATATTCTTTGTAAAATGTCAGCAGAAGAAGACATTCACGCTGATGGTTGCACTTTGTAAAACTGCATTCACAACTAAACTGTACAGTGTTTTTATCTTCTTTTTTAAGTAACGAAGCCAGAAGACATTATTGCACATTCATCCTGTTTTACCGTCAAACATCTCCTTCAACGGATGCACTTTGCAAATATGGATTTCCTGACGTTCACAATTTTAAATGTGATGAAAAATGTCAACAACAAAAAAAAAGCAGCTACCACTCAGCGTCCTTTGAGAGCGGAAAGGTTTGCAAAGATTTGTAAATGGTTCAATAAAAAAACATACTTTCTCATATGCACACTTTGTATTGACGCATTCAAACTAAGATGGAGTACTCTTCGGACAACAATTTCATGGTGTTCGATTTTTGTCTTGTATTTATGTAACACGTTAAGATCACGTCAGGAAAATCCAAACATCTGACCATAAACGGTGTAAGCAATGTTCGCTCTGGTCTCTAAATCTGTAATTGCCATGTGTGTGATGTGTCTGTGATAACCCAGAGCACAGATGATCACATGTGAGAAAGCAGGCACTTTATCTACAAGGCAAAGTCGATGCAGGAACGAACACATACTAATGAAAATGTGGATTTCATTATGTCCCATTATGTCTGTAAAATGCTCAGACGACCTGTTTTTCATGCTGCGATGAAATAGACTCCGGCAACACAACACAAGCAACAGTATAATCACTGTTCTTTTTTTGTAGACTCACGGGAGAGGTATTTTCAAATGCAATGCAAGCCTACTGCTGCAGCAATCAGGGTTTCTGCAGGGGTGGTCAAATGTAAGACCTTTAAGCCTCTTTGAAGACCACCAAACAGTTCACATAAGACCAACACACATTTTATAAGACCTCCTCCAAGGACTGCATTGCCAAAAGTGACAACATTTTTTAGAATATCTTAATCCCAGTCAAGAACCTTGTCTTGTTTCAAAAGAGACAAGAAAATGGGTCTGTCTTGGAATGAGAAATAAATTGCAACTGCACTTAAAATAAGACTAAACTGCTTGTCCATCACATAAGAATACATTGTCCGAACACTGTATAAAGATGGACCCTCAAGCTCAATGAAGCCCAATAGGGAAGTGCTCATAGACGAAGTTTTGCTCCAACTTGCGCAAGCTCTTTTTGTCATACATAAAAAAATTAACTCCTCTAGCTCCAAAAATCCATGGCTTAGCGCTCTCTTGATCCTGGTGTTTGTGTTGTGATGTTGTCTTTAGAAATACAGATATGTGCTTTAACGACTGACCAATCAGGAGCCTTCTGTTGTGCGAGGATGTAGAGCTCCTGATTACTCAGTCTATGGGTCTGAACCAGGTCTTTTTACATGTTAAATGCCACTTCCACTCACTATGAATCATAAAGGTTTTTTTTTTTTTAAGCATTAAGTTTTTCTTCCACTTCATTGATCAGTTGTTGAGGGCACAAACATCATCTGATACGTTTTCACAAAATCACTATTTTTTTTCAAAATACTAAGAGCATCGTTTTCACAACCTTACGAGGCAAGTAACGATCCGTGACGGTAAAGCTAACTGAGGAAGCCACGTAAGCATCATATTTCCTGTATCGTGGACAATCCAACACCTTATGGAGCTGCAAAGTGAGCGGGGCTTCCAGATTTTGCATTTCCCCATTCAAATTCAGAGTTACGAAAAATCCAAAAATCAAGAGTTTGAAGAGTCTACAGATGTAGTTACAACAATCACACGGCAAGGTTATTTTCAGCCACAAAACCTCAACTTGAACTAACAACTTGGTATAATGTGGACAGCACTTTGCAGTTTTAAAAGTTTCAAAAAAACTTTGAATATGAATTGTAGGTCTTACCCCCATCATTAGCCTCAACTAAAATAACTCATCAACCCCGAACATAATTTTCAATGTGGAATTTGACTTCCGTAGCCAGGAAGTTTGTTAGTTTGTTTTAATTCTGTACTTATTTATGTACTTCTTTTGTGCACTCTGAGGATTTTTGCATATGCATTCCAATGTGGTTTTACTGCAAATGGCAAATAGAATGAATCTGAATCTCCGGCCGCTTTGCAGATCCATCACCAACAGCCGCTTTCACAACATATCTGCACTCGGGAAAATGTCTTCAAGACCCTGCAGAAACCCTGTACCTTATTTTTACCCCAACATCAGAGACAAGTCCTTGTTTTGAAGCCTCTAATGCAGTCAACAGGCCCCCATCGTGCTGACCGTGGTGTAGCTGAACTTGGACATGGACGCGGCAGTCGCCAAGGCATCCTCCTCTTGTTCCCGTATCGACTGGCGGCGGCGATGGCGGCACGGCGACGCGCAGCAGGAGAAGGTCAGCAGCAGAGCTTTGCGGAAGCGTGTGTTCATGAAGCAGTAGATGATGGGGTTGATACAGGCAGACGTGTAGGACAGCAGGTGGATGAATCTGATCGGGGCGCCGGACAGAGCTTGCAAGGCCGACGCGTTGTCAAAGGCTCGCCACGTGTTGACGCAGTAAAGAGGCATCCAGCAGATGAAGAACATGACCACAATGACCACCAGCATGCGGATCACGCGCTTCTTGGCCTCCAGCTTGGCCTCGGAGGTGTTGCTGCGTGGACGCTCTGATTTGATCGACTTGTTTTGATTGATGCTAGACATTTCCACAGAGACGGGCCGCTGGGACACGTAGCAACCGTCGCCGTCGTCGCTGCCGGTGGACACAGCGGAGGTTAGGCCGTTCTTCACTTCTGCAGGGGACAAAGCGTGTTTCAATGTGTTGCATGTGGTCATTGGACATGGAGCCTTGTAACTTTCCCTCAGCACTAACATTTTAAAACAGTAATTGTAAATATTATTGCCATTATATATCATACACTGATGTGTTTTTCAATCAGTGTGCCTTGGGAAATTATCCAAGTTCACCCATTTGGTCAAAATAATGTGAAAAAAGAAAATTGCACTTCTCTGATTTTCTATATAATACATTTTGATGAGATTTACTTTGTTTTGTCAATAAAGGCTGCAGAGTAACATCAGTTAGTATACATTTCAGCTGGTGGTGTGCCATGTGATACTTTTAAATGAAAAATGTGTGCCATGGCGCAAAAAGGTTGGGAAACACTGATATACTGTATAAGAACACATTTGGCAAAAGTAATCATGCAACTAACATATTGTTTACTTTGAGCATTTGATTTTCACACAGCAGCAGTCATAATTTTGCTTCACAATAAGACGTTCTCTTTTTGTTTTTGCACGTAATGAAAACAAAACTATGAAAGTCATGTTCGAGGGAATGTGTGTTCTTGATCTAAATGAGGGAGTTGTCTATGTGCTTACAAATACATACAAAGCATGGGTTCTTAAATGCATCAGCTGGCCTTGTCTCAGTAGCATCCAGTTAACATTCTTACAGTGTAAACAGAGTTGAAATAATTCTCTCGTTGGGTTTCGTTGCTGGTATTTCACTCGTCAATCGCAGCACTTTGACGTACATGACTCTAGCTCAATCACATTGCATAGGACGAGACGACTAGTGCAATTTTTTATTCTGCTTTGTGAATGTATTCCTGGGAAAATAAGGTGAAGTACTCAGTGTGGAACTGGTGACACATGAGAAAATAACTGCTCTTAACCAGTAAATCCTTTTGAAAAATAGCTCACAAGTGTTATGACCTGATTCACGGGAGTCTAAAAAGGTTTGAACCCATTATGCAAAGCTTAAAAATAAAAAACCATGAAAATGAATGTGTCCAAAATGTTCTCTACTCAGGTACTCTGCTCACATTTATGAATGAACAGGAAAGATGCGTGGCCTCACCTTTGAAAACTGACATATCTTTAAACTGAATTAGTTGAAATATCAAAAGATGCTGTTAAATACAAGAAAAAGACATATTCATGAATGGACCTGGGCTCATTTCAGATGAAACCAATGAGCCATGTTTAGAAGTGTACAGCATGTAGATTGGAATATATTTTAACTACTCAACTCTTCATATTTCCTGATACACTCTGGCTGACTTTTTCCAAAATGGAAGTATTGATAAAATGTCACTTGCTTCAGTCGCTTGAGTTTCACAAGAATTTCCCCTAAAAAAACTGAAAGCAAAAATTCAATAATGGAAAGAAACGTAGAAGAACTGCTTCTAAGTGTGGTTTTGTTGACAAAGTTTGAATGGAACAAAAGGTAGTACTAAGATAGGACTTAACAAGTGTATCGGTTTACTATCTGAGTGGGAGAGCAGAGAACAGATATCCACTGTCTACTCTCTGTGGTGAAAAGTGAAAAATAGGCGAAATACCCTGGGGGATGTCTGTTTACAGTTCTTGAGTGTGTTCATGCAGTATTCATGGCTTTACCTGATGGAGCCTTCTTGTGTCCCATCTCAAACTGAATGCCTCGGTACAGTTCCCTGGAGATGAGTCCGTAGGCCACAATCATCACCACCCCTGGAATGGCAAACAGCACAAGCAGGAGCAAGATGTACCTGAAAGACACCAAAACAAGCAACAGACTTAAGTGCGAGTAAGTAAATGAACAGCACTGATTGAACTAGGGTGAAAGCATATTTCATTTCTACTCCCTCTTCTGAGCACATGCTTTCACTTCAGGGAACAGGGGAGACAATAAAAACAACATGTGTGTTATTAATTCACACACAATAACAGATGGAAAAATGTGTGGACTTCCAACGGCATAACAACATTGAGGCAGCTCCATTGTGGCTTTTGGAACAACCCCATGATGCAATTAGATTTATCTGCCCTGATGCAGCATGCAGTCACATATGAGGACATTTGGTGGTAAGGACAAACTGTGTTCAGCTGGATAATCCTTAAATGTTTTGCAAATGACTTTGTATCTTTTAATCAGATAATGAGATATACAGAGCAGCATGCCTATGGGGGAAGGAGAACAGCAAACTAAGCTGCACAACAGTGTTGTTAGGACATTACACTGACATGCAACAACAACTACAACATCCAAAATATTAACTTAAATCCAAAATAAATGCAACTCCCTCATGGTCTTTGATGAAGTGAATGGCAAACAGCAAAGTGTTATGTTTGCTTTATGAATGTCTTTTAGAATGAACAAATAAAAGAGAACTTAAATTCTCATACAGAATCCAGTCACAGCCCTTTGTACTTAGTGCCTCCTGTGTCTGCGTGTGCGCACTGACCACGTCTGCTCGGCGGTGGCCAGAGGCCACTTGTGACGGCACAGATGAGCCGTAGAGTTGTCCAGGCGCTGCAGGTGACTGACCACTGGGTAGGGGATCATGATGACAAAGGCCAGCGCCCAGGTTGTAGCAATGACTTTGTAGGCATGGGAGCGTGTCTGCCACACCCGAGACTTCAGAGGGTTACAGATGGCGCTGTAGCGTTCTATTGCTATGGCAACCAGGCTAAATGTGGAAATGCTGACGGATATGCCTGTAACAGAATACAGAGACTATTTATACATTTATACATATCTATAATGGATGAACAGAAGTGGTGCGTCATGGAAAAGATTGGTCCAATAGCAAAAAGTAATACATTTTGTTTGTTGTTGCTTACTTAATATTTGTAATCTGAACAGTGGAAGAAATGGGCCCTCTCCTGAGACACAGCAAATGAGTCTAGTTGGATGCGAGTCTTATCGGCAGTGTGTGCTGAGGAAATCATGTTGGAGCACAGATGTGATCTGCCACATCCATCTCAAAAGAAGGAGCAGGAAATTACTCTTTACCTCTCATTCATGTCCAGTGCTGGCCTTCAGTGGAGAGCCCATATGTGGACCTCCACAAAGAGCTTCAAATAATCCTCTTGGTCGTAGAGGTCCTTCCTGTCCGCTACCAAGTAACACTTCACTGCTAAAGGCTTTCAACTTCCCACTCTCATCTCCAAGACTGGCTAACCCTTCATTCACCTTCATTCACCTTCATTCATCTGGGTTGATCGGTCGTTGAAATGTTGCCTAAATTACATACAATGGAAAGGCTAAACGAGGGATTCATTTGTACTTAAAGCAGATGTGATAATTGTAAACTAGAATACATTTCAAAACAGAATATTGATGTAAAACAACTTAATTTAGTGGTGATATATTAGGGCTGTCAAACAATAATTTTTTAAAATCAAGTTAATTACAGCTTAAAAATGAACAAAATTGTGATTAATTGCATTGCAAACTATTGGCAAAATTATGCCATGTTTTTCTGTAAATGGTTGTTTGAATGGAAAGATAAATGACAACATAGTGTACATATGTACTGTATTTGTTTTTTATAACAACAATAAATCCACACAAAACAGCATTAACATTATTAACATTCTGTCTTTCTGTGACTCAGACCAAAACTATTGTTTGTTAAAGGGATGAGGGACATTTCAAAAAGTCTGAAATGCAGAGTGTCATTAGACCTGTTTGATTTGCTCACAACATTTTACTTTTGGGCACAACCAACATCGACTGGTAGTGGAAGGGAAAAAATAGGTACCCCAGCTTTAAATTAGCAAGATTCAGATTCATTTATTTGCCATTTGCAGTAAAACCACTGCGCTTCGGGAGAAGACACAGAGGAGACTGAGGCCCCGACTCCACTGGTTGTATAAAACGTACTATGTGTCCGTCCAAAGGTTGGACTTCATGATACTGTTTAGCGGCCAATACTTTCTAAGCATACAATAGCTATGAGGCCCTTACAGAACAGCTGAGTCAGTGAAAACCATTACACAAATCATTGTACATAGTGATTGGGTAAATGATAGTTAAAAAATGGTTAAGACATTCTTTAAAGTAATTCTTTCAGGTGTCCGACAATACGCCACTTGAACAAAAGGAAATCAGTGACTTCCAAAATCACTAAAACGAATCGATAACTTTTGCACAAAGACACAAGCAGCAAGCACTCTGCGGAAGAATGCTCCACTGTAAGGAAAAGTGCAAGTCCACACACTTCTACATCATCGGACCAAAATTGGTACTAGGCATAGATTTAAACCTTTGAGTTTGAAAATGACTCTTGACATGTCATGTTTTTCTAACATGGAACCCTCCTGGACATACTGGAGTATTTGTACCAGCACTTCTGAGCATAATTTTGCGAGCAATCATAACAACATCAGCATTATAAATCCAACAGAAAAAGCCACAGTGCTAATCTAATTATTTTGAGCGTGTCGAAGAATAAATTGCCACAGCCCTGAGCTTGCTGATGGTTTCTTTGTGTTGCTCGGAGGACATGGATCAATTGTGGCCGAACCTGAACGGGGAATTACTGATGGCCCATTGTTAGAGACACTGTGGCTTTGGTGCGGATGCCTTTGATCTGGAGTCTCGTAAAACAACTCCACTGAGCAGAGTGAGATTAAGGAGTGTAGCCACAGACCACCATGTTGTCTGGCTCATAGCACTCCACCAGATCGTAATCATGTCTGAAACAAGACTATTGTGGGACTAAATTGGAGCTAAACATAGGAAATATGGGATAAGATGTTTCCCTATGCACCACAAGAATGTTCCTGAGTATGATCAGTTGTGCAGATAGTTCTCAAAAAGTTGTTTGGATCCTTAAATTATCATTGTAATTAAAGTAGCAATATGTAAGATTTTCATGTCAAGTCATAATTAAATGGCCTAATCTGTCAAAAGCCATTAATAAAACATGCTCTTTTCCAATATTTCTTCAACTGATAACAGCAGTTCAGGCGAGATATTTGGATTTCAAAATTAGTTTTACAGCCTCAAAAAAATCTTGTTGTTTTCATTTCAATGTCCCGCCCTCTATCGTTTTACCGATCAGAAAGTCCGTGATCCAGGTTGCCAGAGCTCACTGCGTCGAGCTAATCTCACTGGTAAAGTAGCATGTGGCCAGAAAACTAAAAAAAAAGTGTTGTTTATAGATTTGTTGTTGACAAAACTCATTATTCAGATATTATGGTCACAGCTGGATTCGTCTGCATATCTGGCAACCTGAGTCAGGGACAGTGCAGTACCACTTTTTAGTAAACATTTTGACATACTGCTCCTTTAAGGGATTACAGTCACAATGTTAATAACTAGTTAAAATCGTATTGGATTAAGATGGGGTGTTTTAATTGCGATAATATTTTGTTACCTCACTTCAGTAACATTTTTCTAACACTTTTTAAAATAACATCTGAAAGGTAAAGAGATATTTGACAACGGCAGAGGCCTGATAGAACCCCCAATGTACTGGAGCACCCATTTGGTACCATCTTACATAACAATGATGTGACTGCAATGACAGATCATATTTGGATAAAAAATAGCAAAAAGGCAACACCTGCTTGAATACTGTGGAATCATGTGTAAAACTTTGATACTTTAAAAATGTTTTGTAGGTTGTTCAAAGTTTAACAGTGACCAGATTTATTTGGGGTTTAGTGGAATTCAGCACAACATTTCAAACGACTATCAAAATCCTCCAGAATGGTTTCCTCAAAGCTTTAATAGAAGTCTGATCCGAAAGCACCTGGCGGCCCACGGAGCCTGACCTATGTTTTCATGGATGACGGAGCTTACATTCACTTGGATCAAAACAGCAAAGCCATTTCAACCAGGATTTCACTTTGCTATTGAGTACATTCCTTATCAAAAAATATACTTATGTGGCTTCTTCAAGGTTTTTGAAAGAATGTCTTTATCATGCAGCAAAACGATTATACCATTTCATTTAAAAAAGGAATTCTATAAGTCATAACTTTGCAAATTGTAGATTAAAATGTCCGATGCTTTTGAGGTCATCTACTGAGCCGTTACTCTATAATCACACGTAATCACAAAACAATTTAAGTTCCAACTGGTTTTGTTTAATTTGTGTAATTTGTCCCAGAACACAGAAAGAGTCTGCTAAAAGTTTAATTACATGAGAAAATTAGACCATTAGAAAACTATCTAGCGATCTAGTGAACTGTTTTGAGAGAGAGATTTTATAGTAACAAATTTGCAGTTTACAAAAGAAAGTGAGTAAGTTAGTAATGTTTAATTATATAGCACCTTTCACAGACAAGACTTACAGAGCACTTTACAATTTGGGCATTTGTCTTTCACTCCATACAGAGATGGGAGCAGGGTCGCCATAGAGAAGGACCATGCCAGACCTATTGTACATGTTTTTAGTGGTAGGAGAAACCGGAGCATCTGGGGGGAAAACTTACACAGAAAGACCTGGACCCAGGACCTTCTCGCTGTGAAGCACAAGCGCCACCGTGCCGCAGTGGTCAGCATTACGAACCCATTTAAAGCAGTGTCTGAATACGGCTTTGTTTTGAAGAACGTCCTTTGCCCTCCATATACCTCTGGATGGCTGCCCATGTCAATATCACTTTGAAAAAAAACAAAGTGAATGCAATTTTGCGGAGTGCGTTTTAATATTTCCAGCCGAGTGCACCGGTATTGGGACCCATTTACGAGCACCTTTCATCTGCCATTGTGAAAACAGTGTGTGTGTATGTGTGTATGTGTGTGTTTTCTATTCATGCGGACACATACCCATGAGGTAGGCCACAATCTTGCACATAGCTGCTCCAAAGATGAAGTCCTTGAGGATGCTGGGGATGAGTGTGAACGGGATGCACACCACGGCCATCATGAGGTCGCTCACGGCCAGAGACAGCAGAAACGTGTTGGTGACGGTCCGCATGCGCTTGTTCACCGTCAGAACCACGATGATCAGCAGGTTTCCAAACACACTCAAGAAGAAAATGACCGAATACAGGAGGATCATCAGGGTGTGGTTGTCCCCTACAAGACACAGCAGTTCAGTCACGCACACTCCTGTCCTCGCTCTGATGTTACAGTCACAGTGATGGACATAGGGCATGGGCATTATGTAGGATTATAGAAGACTTCAAACAATACGGAAAAATATATTTTATTGATTTTGCAAAGGAGAAATGTACATGTCAAATTTGGTATGGATAGAATCACTCATATTGTGCAAAAAGACAGAAGTTTGCAAACATGTTAGTGTTAAAATTACACTTATGACACTTTTGTGGCATTTTTCTTTGTCACTCACAATCTTACACAGTGCACTTTTGAGGTTGAAATATGTTTGTGAGTCAGAAGGAGGAATAAAATTGACTGCCAAAGCATTACAACCTGACCAAGTACTTTAACAGCTATATAAAACTCCAGGAGACATTGACGTCACAAATTACTTTTTCATGTGTATCCACATCATTAAAGACATGTTCCAGACTCCAACTATTTACTTTGGCACACTACTTTGTATCTCTTCACTTTTGCTCACTACATTGTAGTATATTTTCAAGTCTAATCATGGCATTGTGTGAGGACAGTGTAAGATCGTCTTTGGCGCAGATGCTCCGTGTTTTTCTCTTTCGGAGTGTACTGATGGATTTTCTAAAGTTACTAAGTAACTCATTTGTTCTCATCCCTCTCTCCCAAACACACACACATGCATGCACACACAAACACACATACATACACACACACACAGTGATCCCATCCTGACATGTGCCCCAGCCATCTGTCTCCTGCTTCTATGCAAATAAAAGTAATATAAACCCTAATAAGGCAGATCACATCACACCACCAGCTTTCTTCTACTTTTGAACTGCGGAAATGTGCCCACTGGATGATTAGTTGGTGACAGGAAGCGACACAGTCAGTCATATTAGTCTCTATCAGAGCGTAATGAAATATGTTACCCTGGCTTCGGCCTAATCGAAGTCAATTAGCTCCCGTGTGTGTTCGCCGGCTGCATACGCTCACACTGGAGTCTCAGACCATGTTTGGATTTTTCTCTCAGGCCAGTGCTAGAAAGTCAACATGGTGGCATTAATCACACAGTTTAAAATGGCACTGTGCGGAACATTTGGAAAATAAATGCAAAAGAAATGGTCTGATAAGAATTGTATTATTCATTCTGTGATTTTAATTTAGTTATTTTCTGTGGAAAGTTTTATACTGTCACAAAATAAAAGTAAGCCAAGAACCACAGTGAGTTAAACTATGCAGCTGTGATACTTTAAACCTAATTTTGTTGCTCTCATTGACAATGACAATAGATTGAATCTTGTATTGAAGAGGAATGTGGAGCTAATGTGTCCTAATGTTATTGGTTAAAAAATTAAGTTATCTGAAAAGATTAATGTTAAGTTAGGGATGAGGGTAGTTCCTTATGGTATGAGAACACCTCCAGTAGTTCCACAGTTTACACAGTTTGGGTTCTCAAACCCAAACTGTGTAAACTTCCTTTCAAAGGAGCGCAGCACATCTGGCAGAGAGCTGCGGGCCATATGCTGAGAGACAGGATCAGAACTCTGTGTCCACATGCAGATCATGAAGCCTGCTGTCGTCAAAGACGCTCTTTACCAGAGTCAACAGCTTCTTTCCGGATCAATGTTCTTGAGACCGGTTTTGTCCAGAATTGCGGACATTGCAGAATTAGACTATTCTTGACAGTTGTGCTGATCTGTGGATTATGTGACTATTTTGAGCTATAACAATCCCTAAGATACACTTTGACTGTTGGTTTTCTTTACCTCAGCAGAACAGCTGTTTGTGGAGTTGAATACAAATGATACATTCATGTTCCGCCAGTATGAGCAAGAGAATGACTCCAGTAACAACTAGTTAGTATCTGTTATCTCTTTATTATTTCTAAATTGCAGCACACTTGATGAAGCTGTTATCATGAACATGTGTTTGTTGTCTCATATTAGGATAACCATAACGGGTTCCCTCACTTGAGGCATTGACTATACGAATCATGGCAATTTATGTTTTTACTGTTCTTTTTTTCCTTTTCAAAAGCTACAATTATTCCTAATACTGACAGGCCTGCAGTTTGTCATGTGGCGGCTGTGCTTTCCCCAGCCCATAACACTTCAGAAACAGTGTTAACCCAGAGCTTCAGAACAGAGACATGCTGAATATTTATGTCTGCACCACATTCACATTTATTTATGCTGGTGATGAATTGCAATATTAACAATTCCGGTCATTTTGATTAGAATGGTTGTTTTTCTTGGGACTTGGAAGATTGAAACTGGTTCAGTAAGAAGGAAGCATGTGTTAACTGGCATTAAAATGTTAAAGTGGTCGACATTGCCTTGTTTGATCATTACTGCATCTTTTTCAACCTGTCAGTCATCCCTAAACCACTCGTTCAACCTACAGTTCTGAGGCGAAGACACATAGTGGAGGGAACAGACGCTCTTTTTATGGAAAGAATCAACTTTGAAATTGCCCCATGCTCTAATGTTGATGACTTATTAAACACTGTCACTCATGCCATTTCAAATGTAATGAATGCCATCGCCCCCATAAAAACCAAGAAAACTAAAAGTATACTAAAAGCACCCTGGAGGTACGATAACCTTGTCAAAGAAAAGAAGAGAGAGTGCCGCAAGGCAGAGCGATAATGACGCAAGCTTAAATGTCCATTACGAAATGTTTAAATTAAAGCAGTATGAGTACAACAGTATTTTAAGTACTACAAGAGAGAAGTATTTCACCCAGACCATTGAAAACTCTAGAAATAACTCCCATGCCCTTTTGGCAGCCATGAACAGATTAACACACCCCTCATCACACTTGTCTCTTGAGTTCATTTCCACATTTAAGTGCAATGAGTTTGCCGTATTTTTCAACGAAAAGGTTCATTCCATTAAAAGAGCGATAAATCCCACATCACAAATTTCTGTACAAACAACTGCAGTTTCTGAGCTGTCCTTTTTTTCACCTGCACTGAAAAATTGGTCAAAGAAATTGTTTTAAAATTGAAATTGTGCACTTGTTGCCTTGACGTGTTGCCCACTTGATTTTTAAAACTTGTTCTTAACAGTTTGTTTTTTTAGGGAAGGTGTTAGAAAAGGCTGTTTACCTGCAGCTAAACAATTTCCTGCTGCTGAATAATGTTTTTGACCCGTTTCAATCAGAAGAGTGGAAGAGTTTGGTAGCTTCTAATGGGAGCTGATTTGGAACTATACAGTCTGTGGAAGAGGCTGTATTTGTGCTCCGTTTGCATGACAGAGCGCACGGACAAAGACCAGACAGGTACATATCAACTAGTCTAAGGTGAGGTAAGAACATATATCAGTATGTAAAAACGGTGGCCTATTCCTTTAAGGGCATATTGTCCAAAGCAGACTTGGAGACTCTCATTCGTTTGTTTCTAGTAGGTTAGACTACTGCAATGGCCTTCTCTCTGGTCTGTCCAAAAGAGCTGTAAAACAGCTGCAGTACATTCAAAATGCAGCAGCTCGAGTCCTGACAGGAACCAGGAAGTACGACCACATTAGTCCAGTTCTCAGGTCTCTGCACTGGCTTCCTGTGGCTCAGAGAATAGATTATAAATCAGCTCTGCTTGTGTACAACTCTCTTCATGGCCTCGCACCAAAATACATATGAAAAATGCTGGCGCCGTACGAGCCCGCTCGAACTCTGAGGAGCGCGGGGACTGGCCTCCTGTTGGTGCCCAGAGTTAGGACTAGACATGGGGAGGCAGCGTTCCAGACCTATGCACCTAGAATCTGGAACAGTCTTCCCGAAGGTGTGAGACAGGCCTTACCTACCTTAGCTATGTTCAAGCGTGCCTATGACTGATCATCAGGAAAACTTATCATCAGGAAAACCTATCATCAGGAAAACTGTATGTATATTTATTCATTTTTTATTAAACTGTCTTTTGTATTTCTTTTTACAGTGTGTTTTTAAATTGGTTTTAAAAGTTGCCGATGTGAAGCACTTTGGGGTTGCACTCTGTATGAACTGTGCTATAGAAATAAACCAAAATACATATGCATTGATTGATTGATTGATTAATAATACTGCTTTGGCAAAGTGAAGAAGGCAATCATATAACTCAGTAAAAGATGTGAAGAAAAATAAATTATATCCTACTCAGTCAGTGGAACGACCCAGTCCCCTTTGGTTGGGGCAGAACTACCTGGATAATAACACGAACAGTGGAGATCACAGTAAATATGTACTTTGGGTGTACATTAAATCCCTTTATCTCATTTTTTACTTCTTAACTGTTTTTTCCTGACTATAGGCTCTTTACCAATAGCATTTTGAAAAGCAAGATCTTTTTCATTGCCATACATTTAACGTTTTTTTTCCCTTATTGAGACAATTATTTGAAACGTAATGCCAATAATAACAAAATAAAATGTAGTTTATTTTGTCCTATCTGTTTTTTTGTGTCACCAAAAGATTCCTGGTTTCACTAGAAAGCAGCAGCCCCAGAGCAGGAGCTAAATAATCCCAAAAATCTGGCACTTTTCCCTAGTTTAGGATATGTGTGAACAAGCCAAAAATAGGAACAAGAACTTTAGAAGTTTAAAAAGGAGCTTTTACAATGAAACAATGACGCTGATGTTGCACAGTTTGATGTATACAGTATATATAGTATGTATGCGTATGACATACACATTATTCAAGATGTGAAAAACATATATACGATGATCTTTTGCCATATAGTTTTTCATCCAATTTAATCTAAACACATAATGCAGCACAAAAGGTCAGACACAAGCAGGCATCGGTGAAACCAGTCTTTATAAGTGTTGGCCTTTCTGGAATCTACTGTAAGCCTGAGACTGCGCGCTGTGACCGTGTTGTAAATGAAAGGAGATTTCAGAGTTACAAAGGCAAACCTAATTTCAGAAAAATCTTAATGAATACGATTGAAAAAGTAGTTACACTTACATGAGCAGAAGAACTGAGTTGGTTAAAGAAAGTTTCAACGTGTTTGCTGTTCATACTTCTGCCATCATCATCATTACACAATCAATGTAGAGGTGAGTGGATATTGCTCTTCCATGATTACACACACACGTGCACACACATTCACACACACACTACACTCCTCCACTCACTGTTGGGGTTTGATTATAGACTTAGACTGTAGAGCTGGAGTTTTCTAAAATGGCCACAATTAACCTGCTGCAGCTGAAAATATTGGCGGTTATTGAAAAAAAATGGCTAATCTTCACATCTCAAGGGCCATACAACTATTCACATTATTTTAAATCACAGCAGCCAGACCTCCGTGGTCATTCTGTCTCAGTATATTTGTGTGTTATCCTCATAGCAATGTGAGAATGCATGGCAGGCTATAATGTCTCAATCAGATCAGAAAATCAGAACCTTGCGGGACACCACAGGTAATGGGGACAGAGACACCACAGGTAATGGGGACGGAGACACCACAGGTAATGGGGACAGAGACACCACAGGTAATGGGGACAGAGACACCAGGTAATGGGGACAGAGACACCAGGTAATGGGGACAGAGACACCAGGTAATGGGGACAGAGACACCACAGGTAATGGGGACGGAGACACCTCAGGTAATGGGGACAGAGACACCACAGGTAATGGGGACAGAGACACCAGGTAATGGGGACGGAGACACCACAAGTAATGGGGACAGAGACACCAGGTAATGGGGACGGAGACACCACAGGTAATGGGGACGGAGACACCACAGGTAATGGGGACAGAGACACCACATGTAATGGGGACGGAGACACCACATGTAATGGGGACAGAGACACCACAGGTAATGGGGACGGAGACACCACAGGTAATGGGGACGGAGACACCACAGGTAATGGGGACGGAGACACCACAGGTAATGGGGACAGAGACACCAGGTAATGGGGACAGAGACACCAGGTAATGGGGACGGAGACACCTCAGGTAATGGGGACGGAGACACCTCAGGTAATGGGGACAGAGACACCACAGGTAATGGGGACAGAGACACCAGGTAATGGGGACGGAGACACCACAGGTAATGGGGACAGAGACACCACAGGTAATGGGGACAGAGACACCACAGGTAATGGGGACAGAGACACCAGGTAATGGGGACAGAGACACCAGGTAATGGGGACGGAGACACCACAGGTAATGGGGACAGAGACACCACAGGTAATGGGGACAGAGACACCAGGTAATGGGGACAGAGACACCAGGTAATGGGGACAGAGACACCAGGTAATGGGGACAGAGACACCACAGGTAATGGGGACAGAGACACCAGGTAATGGGGACGGAGACACCACAGGTAATGGGGACAGAGACACCAGGTAATGGGGACAGAGACACCAGGTAATGGGGACAGAGACACCAGGTAATGGGGACAGAGGAGGAGATATAATGACCCTGTAACATTTGGGTCTAAAACATGAGAATCGTTATGACCAAAACCAGTTTAGTGCTGCTTCTTCGATACCACCATGGATTTGAGGCTGATCTAGTGCAATCCATGCACAGCATCACACAACAGTAAAGATATGATATTGTATACATTTTATAATTTGTGACAACAATTAAAAACTGTATGCAATAAGTTAACAAGATAATATCCCCAGTCCTTTATTAACATTTTCATAAGGTTGAAAGGGTTATCCAAGTGAATCTCAGATTAATACTCCTCTTTAGTGAAACCAGGAACCTTTTGGTGGCATAAAAAAATATAATCCTTGAAAAGGTTGAAAGCAGTTCTTATTAGCTGTGCACACAACTGAAGGATTGCATTTTCACTCTTTAAATGTTTTGTGATAATGTTTGATTTGAATGCCTTGTATGATCTTGTTTCGTTAAGCACTTTGAGTTGTCTTATGTACTGTGCACTGTGCTCTACAAATAAACATGCCTTCCCTTCCCTTACTTTGCCAAAAAAATATATTTTGTAGGCCTGTTACAGCTTTCATACCTGTAGCAGTTTACAGGTATGAAAGCTGAAAACTGTTACGATGAGAACTGACACCCCGACCAACCAAATTTTTGAAAATAATGAACAAATACAAAAAAAATTGGCAAAACGTCATGACAAAACAGTGAGCTCTTTCTACCGCCTGGGAAACCGTCATTAGTGCCTCTGTGCTTCCAATTGTTTTGGTACACTGCACTCTATTCCTCACACTCTAACGACTTTTATAAACTTAATAATTGATACAGTGGACAGAGGTTTCAGCTTGTTTACCACCAACCGATCATTATGCTAGGACAAGCTGTGGTCAAACTACAACCACTAATGAAAACAAAACTGAACATAACATCAAAGAAATGATGTAGTGAGTAGGGTTTGATCATTAGTTAGAGCAATATTTTGAGAATTCTTAGTTACAGATGGAAGCCGTGTCTGACCCTGAAGTCTGACTGAGACTGACTGAAGTCCTGCTGTTGAAAGAGGAATTCTCAATCCAAGTCACTAAAGAGAATGAAAACTATACTTGGTGACACCTGTGAAACGATATTGTATCATTTGGGCATTTCGTAATATTACCAAAATATGAATATAAATGATAAAAAACAAGTCCAGTGGGAGTGTATCAGAGATTAGAAAGCACATCATTTTTTCTGAGCTATTATGCTTTGACGGCTGTTTAAAGAAAGAGTATGGATTGATTTCTAAAACAGTGTTGTTATTGGGGGTCATAAAGCCCGGGCCCTGCAACCTCCAATCTGCAAAATGTATGAGGGGAGATTGCCACAAAGATTTGCCAATTAAAGAAAATTATCGCTTGGAATGAAAAATAAATCACAGGAGGTAAGGTAACTTAGGAGGTCAATGTAAAAAGAACAAATACAATGTAATATAGTTCAATTCCCAACATTAAATGAAATAGATAGATGGATAAGATAGATACAGTAGATATATATTGATCCCCTTAGGAGAAATTAATAACATACTGTAATTATTAGGATTACGCTTTATTTTTGAGATGCATCGTCAACACCCAAATTATCCATGGGTGGGTATTATGGTGATGATAGATATGATATCTTTTGAATGAATAATTAGTCCTTACAAAGTTAGATGGAACAACAAGCTTGAATCTATGAACAGGTCTGAATTGTTACTGTCAGACATTTCAGGTGGTAAAAGTACCAAATGCGTATGCTGTGCAGTGACGCAGAGGAAGCTGAGATTTCTCAGGTACTACATGGCTAAAATTGGCACCGACAACAAACATGCCATGTCTCATCTAAGATCGTCATAGCAACTCCTATGTACTGTGATGAACATATTTATTTGAGAAAGGATTTACGCCACATGATCTTCAAGTGTCATAACACTGCATTAAATCAAGAAGACAAGGCACTTACATTAGCATTGCGTGTCAGGTACTGTATATACACATTAACATTAACCTTCATTTCCATATCTTTGTATTCAATACATACATACACACAGTTCAAGGTGCAGAATATAGATCATTACCTGAGCCTTAATGAATTACTTTGCTCAGTATGATCAAGGTTAAATGAAAGTATAGTTTTTTGTAAAAATAAGGCTCGAGTTAAATGATATGTAACTGTTCATGATTACAATATATAAATAAACAAACAAATAGAGGATCTCTTATCTTATCTTATTCAAACATACAGCACAAACTGGACATTTACAATGTGTAAAATGAACTGACCTAAACAGCCTCACGGTTTCTCCTATCCAGTTTAAAATATAGCAAGGTTTCCTTGTTATGCAATGTAAATGGTCAACATCAGTGGTTTGTGCTACAGTCTGTTAAACATTCTGCCTAGACAGCCTTCATATTTACCAAAACAATTCTATATGGGGTATGAAATGTGACAGTCCTTTATGTCGCTAAGATGGTTGCTCAGGTAAGCTAGAGCTCAGCGGCCCTATCACACTAAGCTACGAGGATGCAAATGTTGGGTGGAATTTCAAATGTGTGTTTTCTGGTCCAATGCTCAAAAACGTGCACCAAAAACAGTACATAAATATATATATACTCAACATAAAACATATTCAACTCCTTCTGCATCAATTATCTGCTTGAATAGGCACAGGTACAATATCCAGCACTAGTGAGACCTAGAGGACCACTACAGAAGGCCTTTGATTGGTCAATCCTCATAAAGCTCATATGGATCACCAAAGATAATATCAAAATATAAACATCATGATCACAGAGAGCGAGTGACACAAACGGTTAATAAGCTAGAGGAGATTACTTTTCAATGCAAGTCAATAGGAACCAGAGTAAGTTGGAGGAAAACTTTGTCCGTGAACACTTCCCTATTGAGCGTCATTGACCAAGGAAGTCAACATTGTCCATCTATATAAAGTCTATGGTTTAAATCTTGCCAGTCCTACCACAGGCTTGTTCCTGAGTATACAACATACGAATACACACCAACTTGTCCTCAACATGTAAGATGTGAGAAAATAAACTACAACCTGCTTCTTTAGAGATTTCTCTTAAGGGCCAATTGGAGGCAAGGCAAGGCAAGTACAGTGGGGCAAAAAAGTATTTAGTCAGCCACCAATTGTGCAAGTTCTCCCACTTAAAATAATGACAGAGGTTTGTAATTTTCATCATAGGTACACTTCAACTGTGAGAGACAGAATGTGAAAAAAAAATCCAGGAAATCACATTGTAGGATTTTTTAAGAATGTATTTGTACATTATGGTGGAAAATAAGTATTTGGTCAATAACAAAAAATCAACTCAATACTTTGTAATATAACCTTTGTTGGCGATAACAGAGGTCAAACGATTACTATAGGTCTTTACCAGGTTTGCACACACAGTAGCTGGTATTTTGGCCCATTCCTCCATGCAGATCTTCTCGAGAGCAGTGAACACGGACTATCAACTCGCTCCACAGATTTTCAATGGGGTTGAGGTCTTGAGACTGGCTAGGCCACTTCAGGACTTTCAAATGCTTCTTACGGAGCCACTCCTTCGTTGCCCGGGCGGTGTGTTTGGGATCATTGTCATGCTGGAAGACCCAGCCACGATTCATCTTCAAAGCTCTCACTAATGGAAGGAGGTTTTGGCTCAAAATCTCACGATACATGGCCCCATTCATTCTTTCCTTAACATGGATCAGTCGTCCTGTGCCCTTAGCAGAAAAACAGCCCCAAAGCATGACGTTTCCACCCCCATGCTTCACTGTAGGTATGGTGTTCTTGGGATGCAACTCAGTATTCTTCTTCCTCCAAACACGACAAGTTGAGTTTATACCAAACAGTTCTACTTTGGTTTCATCTGACTACATGACATTCTCCCAATCCTCTGCTGTATCATCCATGTGCTCTCTGGCAAACTTCAGACGGGCCTGGACATGCACTGGCTTCAGCAGGGGGACACGTCTGGCACTGCAGGATTTGATTCCCTGTCGTCGTAGTGTGTTACTGATGGTAACCTTTGTTACTTTGGTCCCAGCTCTCTGCAGGTCATTCACCAGGTCCCCCCGTGTGGTTCTGGGATTTTTGATCACCGTTCTCATGATCATTTTGACCCCACGGGATGAGATCTTGCGTGGAGCCCCAGATCGAAGGAGATTATCAGTGGTCTTGTATGTCTTCCATTTTCTGATAATTGCTCCCACAGTTGTTTTGTTCACACCAAGCTGCTTGCCTATTGTAGATTCACTCTTCCCAGTCTGGTGCAGGTCTACAATTATTTTCCTGGTGTCCTTCGACAGCTCTTTGGTCTTGGCCATAATGGAGTCTGACTGTTTGAGGCTCTGGACAGGTGTCTTTTATACAGATAACGAGTTCAAACAGGTGCCATTAATACAGGTAACAAGTGGAGGACAGAAGAGCTTCTTAAAGAGTAACTAAACACCAAATCAACTTTTTTTTACTTATACACTGCCTAAATATGTTTCCTATAGTGCTCCCTACATGTCCTGGCCATATATTTGACATTTTAATCCAAATTAGTTAAAATCTCACTTTTGAGCCTAAACCGTCTGTGTGGCGCCTTCTCTATGGTTTTCCGTGTCACTACATTTGAATTTCGTTCCTGGACTCTCCATTGGCTCTTGAGTTCCCTAGTTTTCTGTGACGCAGGTCTTCCTGAGCCTCTGCTATAAAGCCCGCGGGTCTCTGACACGCCCCCGTAGCGAGTTGGAGTTGGAATTGTGAGCGAGCATTTTACATCGATTTTCAGGTTAGCAATTTATTAGCTTAGTATTTAGTTAGTTCTTTAGCGTAGCGTTTCTAGTGTAGTCACAGGTTGTCAGGTAGTTTAGTTGCGTGAGTATAGTTTAATTTAGTCATTGTGTGTTACTTGTAGATTAACGTAGGGCTTTGTATAGGCTAGGTGTTGTTGTCCGTGTTTGTGTATTAGTATTTGTGTTAGTTGTCTTGTTTGTTAGGATGGGGAGAAAGTGTAGTGTGGTGGGCTGTCAAAGTACTGTAGGATTACATTACTTTCCACAGGACTTAAGACTTTAGGCGCCAGTGGAACCGCGTAATTGGCCTGGGGGAGAGCTGCGAACTCCCGCCTCATGCTGGAGTTTGCAACCACCATTTTGCGCGTGATTCCTTCGACAACTTGATTCAGTTTGAGCTGGGGTTCACCACAAAGCTCCGTCTGAAGAGCGAGGCTGTTCCCACTCTTGGTCTTCCACGAGCGAGGAAGGAGCTCCCGACGTTGCTGCCCAGCCACGGAGACTCCGGGCGCCACTCTGAGGTGAGTGGGCAAAAACAATGAGTAATAATAATAATAATAATGTTGTGTCTTTGTTGGAGACATTTGGTGACGGACTGTAGACTTGTGACCGAGAGGAAACTGTGCAGGTCCGCGGTAGTTAGCGCGGTATATTACCTTACATGGTTTTGTTGTCCAGTGTGTTAGCGAAGGGGCTAGCTTTTGTAACGAGTTTATGCTGTAACAACGCGATCTCCAGGACATGACTGTCACTTGCGTTTGTTTTTATCTTCCTCACGTCCACGTAGGTGTGCTAATGTAAGGGGATTTATATGGATGTTTTGTTCTGTTATGCCCTGTTATTACCTGGCTAGGACATTTTTATAGCGCACGTGACCTCATCTCCGTCGTATCAATAAGCACTCACAATAGGTCCTAGCCAGGTAACATATTACCCCAATACTCCACATGTCATGTACCATAATATTTAGCAGAAAGCCTGTTTAATATATGTACAATAGACGTGGGTCTTGGCGCACAAGCTTCAAGGTAGTTCTGGGATCATAAACTACTCTGATCAAAACTACAAAGAAACATCCACACTGTAGAAATTAGTCTTACTATACCACTATACAAATAAGTCTTTCCTCCCTTACTACTATTACTTATTACTAATATTATTACTTATGTTTTCAGCCTAAAGCAACCAGAGAAATGGCCTGTCAGACGGATCCAATCATCAGCAGGCACGCTTGTGTCCAGGCCAATGTTAAGCCCAGCAGGCGCAGCAAAGGTTATTTGTCTTTTATAACAGTCTGTATTATTCACTAGTACAAGAGTTTAATTTTACTTTGGATTCGCTGTTAGATGCTAATGTAACCATTTATGAGTGCTATTAATAATGTGTTTATCTGTGTTCTTTTAAACAGGCTTGCAGGTGCAGGCTCCACATAAGAGCGTCAGCGTTTCCTGTGATACAGGGACCTTCATGGGAATCCCACTTCCTGAAAGTCCCCTTGCAGCCTCTACACCCTTGAAAAGAAAAAAGTGTGAGGTGTCTGCATCTGACCCCAGCTTCCATTTGAACGACAGTTCTCTGAACTGTTCAAGGTAAAAATGTATGGGGGAAAAGAATGCTTGTGTATTATTTAAAAATATACCTTGGAAAATATTGTATTCTCTTAAATGGTTACATTTGCCTCTTCCTACATAATAGCGCTACAACGGAAGTCCCTCCACACAAAGCCAGAAAGTACATTGTTCATGAGGACCAACTGCTGTCGCTCTTTCAAAAATGTCCTGTCTGCACTCGTCGTTGTACAGTTGAGACAACCACATTGGGCACACTCCTCCGAGTGAAACAGCAGTGTCCAGCATGTGAGTACTTCAATGACTGGTCCAGTCAGCCCATGGTGAAGGATATACCAGCTGGAAATCTTCAGCTTTGTGCTGCTGTCCTCTTCACTGGCTCGTGTTTTGGTCAGATTTCCAAGGTATATAAATCGTCTTATCTGTATTGACAATGTTTCCATAACAGTCAGTTGGTAATATTACTTTATATTGCATAGTTCCTGAGGGCTTTCAACATTCAAGGACTGTCAGAGCAAACTTTTTACAAGCATCAGGCCAAGCTCCTCATCCCGACGGTCAGCTGGCAGTGGAAGCTTGAGCAGGACGAAAAAATCAGGGAGGCAGCTACTGGTGGGCCTTTGACACTGGGTGGGGATATGCGTGCTGACTCTCCAGGTAAATCTTTTCTGTATAAACAAAGATTTTTATGTTTTAAATAATAGTTTGCCAAGTGTAATGTGCATTTCTACAGGACATTCAGCTAAATACGGTAGTTACACCATGATGAATCTGCAAAGTAACAGCGTCATTGACATCCAACTTATCCAGGTAAAACACCACCATGTTTACATTTGAACAATTAATTGGGAATCATTTGGCGCATTTATGTAGATAATTCTGTTGTATTTCAGAGCAGTGAAGTTGGGAACAGTGTAAGGATGGAGAAGGAAGGATTTATACGCAGTCTGACCATGCTGGAAGAGAAGGGTGTGAAAGTACAGGCAATTGTGACGGACAGACTATGATCTTGTCTGTCCGTCAAGATCATAGTCTGTTTGATTAATGTGGTTGATTGATTTCTACAGGGAACAGAAATTAGATTTGCAGAGTTGGACCGTCTAACTGCTGTCCTGTTTTGATTTCGTTTTTTAGAATTTAAAAACATTTTTGAGCTGGTGCGAGGAACACACACAGTCTCAATTGGCCTAAAATGTGAAAACCCTTGTTGTTCTTTAGCTCCCAGAGTCAGAAGGGAGTCAGCACAGTTCAGTGTTTGGACTGGTAATGCACTGCCAGACGGACAGGGAGCAGTGTTTGCACCGTTGTACTCACCCGGTGCTGGTGAGCAGGAGGCGGGGGAGTGCGGTGGGGTCCGAGGGGGCTCAGATGTAAACAGTCACGCCCCCCTCGGGGAACGCTGAACAACATAACGTATGTAATCCATCAACAGGCTGCTACCGTATCTGTTTGGGTGTAATCCGTCTGGACGATAGGCTTCGTAACGTTTCCAGAAAAGGGCAAAGTTATTCACAAAGACAAAGTTAAAAGAGCTGCATGTAGCCTGGAGCCACATATGCAGCGCCACAACACGACTGTAGAGGCAGTCACCTCTGTTTACAGTCTGGATTGGACCAGAAATAAAAACAGATAATCCGGAGGATTGAAGGAGGTGGAACAGATCCATAAAATGTTTCTTCGTGACTTCTGACTGCTGAAGTTTCATGTCGTTAATTCCCACATGCACGACTACCTTGGAAACGGTATCAGGCAGGGACTGAAGCAGAGGAGGGAGACGTATGAGCAGGTCTGGTACAGTAGCTCCGGGAATACAGCGAGTGACCGCGTTGAAGAAGCGGACGTGTCTCACGATGGAATCTCCAATAATCAGAGTGGTCGGGGCGAAGAGTGGCCTCGGAGAAGGAGCTCGGTGGACGGAACCAGCGGGTTCACCCAAAGCAGGACCCGAGCCTGAGCGCCGCTGAACACATGGAGAGGAGGAGCGGGGGTGCTGACTCTCAGCTACAGGCGACCCACGCTGTGTGCTCGGGGACGCTGGAGCGGTGAGAGGGGCTGGCTCTGGGCGCTGCTGCTGACCCGGTGGAGGTGAGCGGTGGTGATGATGGCTCGCTACCCCAGTCTGAGGCTGCTGCACTGGGGTCAAAGAAGGGGAACAGGCCAACATGGCCGGTGGACCGCTCTTTCGCCTGAGGACTGCTTCCTTTAGGAGCGTTTTCCTCGTAGTGGACTTGGATCCTCGAGCAGTAGAGTACGCTGCAGTGTCCAGGGATTCTGCTGAGGGGGCCGGGATGTCGGTGGAGAGGGCTGCATAGCGGTTTGCCAGACTCAGGACATGGGCCACGGCGCAGGATGGCTCCTCGGAATCCGCGGGCTCGTTATTCGGAAGCGGGCGCTTAGGTGTAGAACAGGAGGGTCGGAGCTGACGGATCTCTCCCACACGACAGTGTCACAATATGCAGCGCTCAGTGACATCAGCCGTGAATGCTGCCCACCAGCGACTTCAAAAAGTTTGGATACTAGAGATTGTTTCTCATTCAACTCTGCGGTGAGACGAAGGACTTCTTTTCGTAGTTCTGCAATGGTGGCACGGTCGCTCTCACGGAGCTCCAAGGTGAGGCGACTAATATTGTGCATGTTTGAGCCAATTTCATTGTCACTTTCCATGTCCTCGTTAGCTTGTGTTAGCCTCTGTGCTACTAGTGGGTTTCAGTCGGGACTAAGTGCTATTTGCTGAAACCACTGAATTAAAAAGATAAAACACTCAGATATATTAAAAAACTGAACAATAAAAACGCGCTAAAAAGTTGTTAAAAGTTTACTAAAAAGGTGCACAGAGCAGCCCTGCAGTACTGTCTGTCCGACAGACTATGATCTTGATTTTATGCTTATGGCTGAAACATGGCTCGACCAAAATACAGGAAATGCAGTTCTAATAGAAGCAACACCACCCAATTTTAAATTCGAATCCGAAATACGAGAAAACAAAAGGGGGGGAGGCATAGCTGCAGTTTTTAGAGAGCACTTTGTCTCCCATAGAATGCCCCTTGGAAATTTTTCATCGTTTGAGTATATTTCTTTTAAAATGGAACAAAAGCAATCTTCTACTCTTTTCATTGTCCTGTACAGGCCACCACAGTCATGTTGCGATTTTATTGACCATTTTACTGAACTACTTTCATTCGTGTGCACAGATTTTGATAGTTTAGTTATTACAGGTGATTTTAATGTACATGTTGATAATGTTGATGACAGAAATGCAAAGGAGCTGGCTTCTGTATTTGAGACCTTTGGTTTCATTCAGCACGTGAGTGGCCCCACCCACAGCAGGGGGCACACTCTTGACCTGCTAATTACAAAGGGGGTTAATGTATCAAATGTTAATGTAGTTGATGTTGCTTTGTCAGATCATTTCTGTGTATTTTTTGACATGTGTTTTGCTAGCAAACCACCAGCTGAATTTACAACTGTTAGAAGAAGACACATACATGAAAACACAAGTGAACTGTTCATGGGAATGCTAAATTTTGAGAAAACTCCATGCTCTACTGTTGATGAATTGTATAACTCTGTCACCACCAGTGTTCTGACTGTTCTGGACGCCATTGCTCCTGTGACGGTTAAAATAGTTACCAGTAAGAAAAAGGCCCCATGGACTAAGGCAGACTCGGTTAGGGCACAGAAGCAAGAGTGCCGGAGGGCCGAACGGAAGTGGCGAAAGTCCAATTTCCAGGGCGATTATGAAATCTTTAAAGATGAGTTGGGTGAATTTAACCGGGTTCTACGTAGAACAAGAGAAATGTATTTTTCTGACATTATTGGAGGTTGCAGTAACAATTTTCGTGTTATGTTTTCAACAGTTGGTAGATTAACGAACCCCCCTGTAAAGTTGCCCCTAGAATTTTCCTCTAAATCTAGGTGTAATGAGTTCGCACAGTTTTTCGATGACAAAGTACAAGGAATCAAAAACACTATCACCTCCACAGCACGTATAACAATGCAACAGCCAGAGAAGCTTTTTGAGCTAACTCACTTTGCACCTGTGGATACTGAAACTGTCAAAAAGATAATCATGAGTCTGAGCTCCTCCACATGTAGCCTGGATATATTGCCCTCTAAATTTCTGAAGTCCGTCCTGAGCAGTTTGTTACCTTCACTGACACAAATAGTAAACATGTCTCTGTCGTCAGGAACATTTCCTATGGCCCTAAAAACAGCAGTCATAAGACCTCTCCTAAAAAAGAGCAGTCTGGATCCTGCGGGACTTCAAAATTATCGCCCCATATCGAATCTGCCATTTATTGGAAAAATTCTTGAAAAAGTGGCCTCCCAACAACTTACTGAATTTTTAACAATGAATAATTCTTTTGATATGTTCCAGTCTGGGTTTAGACCCCACCACAGCACTGAGACCGCTCTAGTGAAGGTAACAAACGACATTCGACTTCACACTGATGCAGGTAAAGTCACAGTTTTGGTCATGTTAGATCTTAGTGCCGCGTTCGACACTGTCGACCATGAGATCCTCATGCAGAGACTGGAGGACTGGGTTGGTGTCACTGGCACAGCCCTAGACTGGTTTAGGTCTTACCTGGAGGATAGGAAGTACTCTGTGGAGATTGGAGACTGCGTCTCAGATGATGTGGCCCTGACCTGTGGTGTACCACAGGGGTCGATCCTGGGACCTCTCCTATTTAATCTCTACATGCTGCCGTTAGGTCAGTTAATACAAAGAAACAAAGTGTCCTACCACAATTACGCTGACGACACTCAGATCTATGTCTCACTGACTGCAGGAGAACATGGACCACTGGATTTGCTCCTTCACTGTATCCAACAGATCAGTGACTGGATGCAAAATAATTTCCTCCAGCTAAATGCAGACAAAACCGAAATCATTGTCTTTGGTCCCCAGAAACAAAGAGAGGGCGTCATTTGTCAACTTCAGTCTCTCTCCCTACTTCCTTCAGACAAGGTCAGAAATTTGGGGGTAATACTGGACTCAGACCTAAATTTCAATAGCCACATAAAATCAATAACATCAACAGCTTTTTACCATCTGAAGAACATTGCCAAAGTTAGAAATATAGTGTCCAGGGCAGACTTGGAGATTCTTGTCCATGCATTTGTCTCCAGCAGGCTAGACTACTGCAATGGCCTGCTTACAGGTCTGTCCAAACAGACCTGTAAGCAGCTGCAGTACATCCAAAATGCAGCAGCTAGAGTCCTGACAGGAACCAGGAAGTATGACCATATTAGTCCGGTCCTCAGGTCTCTGCACTGGCTTCCTGTGGCTCAAAGAATAGATTTTAAAACGGCTCTGCTTGTGTACAAGTCTCTCCATGGCCTTGCACCAGAATACATTAGTGACATGTTGGTGTCATATGAACCGGCCCGGACTCTGAGGAGCACAGGGACTGGCCTCCTGCTGGTGCCCAGAGTGAGAACCAAACATGGGGAGGCTGCGTTTCAGATCCATGCAGCTAAGATCTGGAACAATCTCCCTGAAAATGTGAGGGAGGCGTCTACTCTGTCAATGTTCAAATCCAGGTTAAAGACTGTTCTGTTTGCCTGTGCATATAACTGAAGGATTTTATCTCCATTTTTAATGCACTGCTGTCATTTATTTATTTTTTTTAAATTTCTTGTGTAATTTTGAAAGTTTTAATGGTTTTATTCTTTTGTGTGATTTTACTGTTTTAATTGTGTTTTAATCTTTTGTGTGATTTTAATGTTTTAATTGTGATTCTGGTGTTTGTTTTATGTGATGATTTGTGATGTGGACTGTGAAGCGCTTTGTGTTGCCCTGTGTATGAAAGGCGCTCTACAAATAAACTTTGATTGATTGATTGATTGACAGACACACAGGAGTGCAGAAGTACCTAAGGGAGGAAAAAAAAGACATCACTCACTATTTTGACCCTTGGCACATGGGAAAGGGTATGTATTTAGCGTATAATTAACAGATAATATAGATCTAATCCATGTAATAAAAAAAATGTCATAGGAA